GCTCCATTCATAGCCGTAGTTCCCCTGGAGTGAGACAGAGAGATCATAAAACAAGACTTTTTTGTGTCTCTCTGATACGAGTGTTACAGTCTCTAATAAAAACAACTGCTCTTCCAAATCAGAGGTGTAAATAATGAAAGTATTAATGAATGGCTACTGTGCACGTTGGCTCACTGTCAAACTCATGGCCCCCTGAGACAGCTGAATATAAACAGAGCCAGTGGTAATAATGGCTCTGTTTATATTCAGCTATTTTTACCTAAATAGGTCTGCTAAGTCCTATTTAGGTATAAACGCCCACAAGATTTACAAGCACACACTGTAAACTGACTGCTAAGTAATACATTCCTGACACTGTCATTACCGGGTCATTTAACGACACCAAATTACACTTTTATATACTTACTGCACTAAATGTTGAACTAATAATTCCTGCAATGTATGTACCAAAGTACTGAAGTAGTAAATCAGGTGTAGTTTACTTACACTCATCATGGGCATGAATTTCATGGTTATTTAGAGTTTTTGCAACCGTTCATCTTCCAGGATGGAGTGATTATACAGCATATATTACTCTCTATCGACTTAAAAAACAAAACAAACAAAAAAACAAAACAAGAAATGGTGCACAAGTTGGAATCTTTTTATAACTGCCAAAACTCAAGAACTGGAAACTGCTGGAGTGTCACTGTCCACACTGAAGCGAGTTTCACGTTGACATGGAGTGAGAGGGTACTGACCAATAAAGATGATCCTGCTCTAAAAACATCTTCAAGATTATCCAAACCAAATTTCAGTCAAAGCAGGTTAACATTAAGCCGATGGAATGGCCTTCCCAAAGCCCTGACCTCAACCTTACTGAAAATCTGTAGACTATGTTTAAAAGCTGGGTTTAAATGAACTGGTTTGACAATACCAAAAGTGTCTGGTTGAGGTGCAACTTGATAAGAGACATTTAACCAAATATTACAATCAATCCATCCTGGAAAATTAACAGTTAAAAGAAATCATTTAAAGCCCCAATTTACCACGGCATTCATGCCCATGATTAGTATATGCAAACTTTTGCCCACAACTGTAAACACCAGAAATCCAACATGATAAAATTACGGCACTGAGTTCGGTTTAATTTAAATATTAGAAGGATGATATAAGTAGAAATGCTCACTTGTTGACAGGAGCCTTTATTCCTTGTCCTTCACTGCCGAGGCCTTCGCCTTCTTTCCAGCCCATCTTCATGAGCATTCGGAAACCGAGATTCTCCACCGTCAACTTAAACTCTTTGTATTCTGAGTAGTCAGGGTCCCGACCCTCCTGTGAATCCAGGAAAAAAAGTTGAGCATTCATAACAAACAGAAGCAGCATTGTGTTTTGATTCCACACATTTTTTATGACTGTGAGGAATCATAATTCAGTTTTATTAGAAACACTCAAAAAAATCCTAAAGATATCGCACAAACGTGGAGCCAATGGGACATGGAAACAGCTAAAATAAAGCAATAATGTTTATCATCCTTGGGAAGTGCACATGTACAGAAACAGGGAGTGTATATAGTTGATTATTAGATTTGTACAGGTAAGTCATAGGTGTCCTTCTATTTTTTAGTTGTTTTAAACGTTGAGAACATTATAGATGATGTATCTCAATAACACTCAGCCTTCAGGCCTTCATCAAATACAGCCTGCAAAAACATATGTACTATAATAACCCAACAGTTATATTACATTTTCCTCAAAGACACTTGTCTGTGTTTATACGTGCTTAGACTCAAACTGTATGCCGTTTGCCATTTAAAAAGCCACATCCTGGAGCTGACTTTCTAACAACTTCCCATGCCTCTGGGAGACAAATTACATTCATAGTGCTCATTTTTTCCAGCTTTGATACTTTTTGATGAGATAATAACAGTGTCAAATCACACAGATTTCTTTTTAAAGTAGCAATTACAGTCTGTTCCTAGGGGACTTTCAGAAAGGGACGAGGAATGTGCTGGGAAATGGGCAGTCTGGGTTCAACTGCTGAGGCATTTCAGAAAAACCTCAGCTCTACTAAAGATATGTATGCATTTGTTGTGGAAAAGACACTAAAAATTATATATATATATAT